CGCCCTGTAGGCTCGCGCATCTTCGTTTCAATATATATATATTATATATACCCTATCGGAAAAAAACGAATGATGGGCATGGTGGAAACCACCACCCACCATTATAGTGGATTAATGTAGTGGGTGAATGGTGGGAAACACCCACCATGGCGCATGGTGGGTATGGTGGGTGCTGCAGTGCCGGCAACACTTGAGCCCAAAATGACGTCAGAATCACCGTGACGAGCTGCCACAAAAAATAAAAAAGAATTCTATAAAAACTGTATAAAAAAACACCTGTCCCGTAAAAAAAAAAAAACAAGGCGCCACGGAGGATCGAACGTGCAACCTGCGGATTTCCATTCGAAGACGCTAACCACTGCGCCACACCAACATTTTTTTTCTTTACTGCGCCACACCAGCATGACGGTGATTGCGTGTTAAATACTTAATTGGCATACAAACTTAAGGTTCAAGTTATGTTTGTCGTGTACACAACATAGACAAGATCTACACCTGCTACTAAAAATTGCACATTTATTAAACACAAGCAACTGCGCCCTGTAACGATTGCCACTATGTTATTGGCACTAGTGCTATTTTTTTTTACAATTCACAACTTCAAGGGAAAAAAAACCAAGTGGATTGGGGAGCAGCAACAGTTTACCGGCGAGTCTGCCAAGTTTAATATCCGTTTCGCGCTTGTTCTAAAGGGCGACATCTGCTCACGCCTTATGACGCTTCTAGGCTCATTTCATAGATGCGCCCGCCTAATTTATTTGATTGAGTATTGGGATGCTTTTCGTGCAATGTAGAGGGCGGTCGCGCCAGCGCAACGCTGTAGCTCTTTCGATAAAGCAACAGCTATATACATAACGGCTTGGCCAAAAGGAATGCAGTGTACCGGAAACATTACGCTATCATAATGGTTCACCAAGCACACGAATTGCCACGTCTGAGTTCTCGTACAAAAGCTAGAGAAGTGCCGGCGAGTGCGACCGGCGGCTGTCGGTGAGAAGACACATAATTACGTTCTCTGGGAGTGCTTTAATCGCGTCACATCGATGTTTGTTGCTTCTTGAGTGAACACCATACACAATGAAAAATGCTTCATTTAGGTTAATTGATGCCATATGGCTGCGCTGTATTGTCATACCTAATCGTCGTAATCGTGTATTCTGAAACCCGGAAGCACGGATAACACAATTGTACGGGCTCGATCAGTAGGCCTAACCTTTGGTGGAAATCATGATGGTAGAACATGTAGTGTACAGATCCCAGCTTGGTACACTATATAATTTGCCCGCAATTATAAGCCCACCCATCATCTGGTTACTGCTTCCCAGCATTATCGCGATGGTGGGCAGAGCTTCTCAGCTTGGTACACCATGTGGCCCACCATAACAAGCAGCACCCATCATCTGCTTAGTGCTTCCCAGAATTATCGCAATGGTGGGAAGAGTTTCTCAGCTTGGTACACCATGTAGCCCACCATAATAAGCACCACCCACCATATGCTTAGGGCTTCCCAGCATTATCGCAATGGTGGGCAGAGTGTCCCATTATTGCCCACTATCTAGCCTCTGCTTTCCACCATCATTTCCACTTTACCCATCATCTGTACACCATACAACCCAGTATGTCCCGGCATAACCATCATACTTTCCACTACGTCCCACCATAGCCATCATAATTTCCACCATGCCGACTATTATTTCCACCATGCCCACTATTATTTCCACTACGCCCACCATGTTTTCCAGTATCCACCATGGCAATTTTTCCAATAGGGATATATATATATATATATACGTTAATGGCGGCGGCAAAGGCCAGCCGGGACTGTTCATATAATTGCTATTACAATAGAGATTTATGCATATTTGTTGTGCAGCTAAATTTAATTTTAAGAATGCCTCATTGTTTCTTCATGTGCATTCTACACAATTATTGGCCTATATAATGCTCCAATCATGAAACGATATCCATAGTTCCATGCTAGCACTGTTTCGTAATTCTGAAAAGGAGAAACATACCATGTCTACAACTATCTATAGCTATCATGCACGCAATGGAACAACAGTTATAAAAATCTCTGCAAATTAAAACAAAATTGAACTCAATGCATAACTGATACCATGCATTGAAAACCTGTCAATTTTTTTAAAGACGATAGTCTGTCTTGGGGACCTTCGACAAAAAAATATTGGTCTGTCCGTCTGTACATTTGTCTGTTTGTCCGCCCTAACGATATCTCAAACGGCACCAAACGGCCAACCCTATCCGCAGCGCCTACCAACATTGCTCAAGGTTTAGGCATTCATATTTGTGCGATTGTCAATTAAAAAGCAATAATTGCGCATATCTAAGATGCGACAACGCTTCGATGTTTTCTATGTCTGCCTTTATACTAGAAGAGGCACACACAAGTAACTCTAAGGAATGTAGCGTTTATTCGCGCTGCGCTGACAGTGCAACGCGATGCTCAAAAAGGTGTTTCCAACGCTTTGCTACGACGTCACGGTGGTGGCACCTGCCTATCGCTTTGCGTTCTACACGTTATCACCTCCTAGACTGGCGCGCATCTTTCTCTGCGGGCTGCACGCCTTCGTTTTCGAAGATAACTTCCAGATAGCACTTGTGTCTAACGTGCCTAGATGCGCTCGTTTGCCTCCGCCACACGCTGAAGGCACTCTAACGCAGCGCCTGCAGAATACCATTCACCGATTTTCTTGCGCAGAACATCAAATAAACGTTTTGTTCACTGTCTCCAGATGCAAGACTATCGTCTTTCGACGACATTTACAGTATAACATCGATTCGGGCCAATTTTTTTCTTTGTTTCCTAAATGTTTCTGATCCACGGAAACAGATGATCCTAGATAGCACTGATGGCAATACACAGCAGTGGAGTTACTGCAGATAAGGAATAATGGTACAGATTTGTCCCGTTATTCCTTAAAGGGTTAATATGAATGCTAACACAACAGTCTTCGTTATTTTAAACATCTGTTAGGGTACGGCAGTTGTGCCTTCGGCACTTCAGTTTTAGCAGTGGCACAGGAATTTCATCACTCTGCGAAAGTTACCATCTACTGCTTTTTGGAAGGGCTCTTCGCAGGAAGGTCTTCAATTCTCCCATTTGAGCTGCTCTGCCTGTTACCTCTGAGAAAAAAGTTATTTCAATCTAAAAAATTTATGAAAGCCACCTTAACTAGTCTACCGCAACAGAAAAATTTATTATGAAGGCAGCAAGCAAATAAAGCATTTCCCTCGCATATAAGCACCTTCGAACACATTCCTTGAAACGGCCAGTATTACTTTTTATGGGGACTATTTCAAACATTGGTCACAGTTATTCACTTATTACTCACCTGACTGAATTAAACAGCAAGCGTAGCGTGGACAATTCGTACAAGATGCAACAATGTTCAGGCAAAGAGAACACATCTCTTCTTTCCATGCATTTGTGATAAATATAGAGTCTTTCTTTAATGCAAGTTGAATCTCAATAAAACAAAAGTAGACATGTATATTGCCAGAGGCATGCCACATTCGCTTTTTCATGTATTCCAGGGCCTTTTCTTGTTACGGGTACAACAGCCCAAATTTAACCTGTCCATGTAGGGGGTCATCCTTAGCTAGGTATTCTAAACAGGCTAGTTTCATAGCATTTTGGGCTAATAACCGAAAACATTGGGGGCCATCACTTTGTTTCTTTAGTTTGCTTTTTCTCGAAATATGTTAATCCCCTAATGGTCTCAAACGTGTGGCCCGCCGACATCTCCCTAGCGGCCCGCGACCTGCACATGATTGCCTAAGCTCGACGATTCCTATAAATTTTCATAAGCATGTCCACCAGCTACTTGGAGAAGACTAGCTTCAAGCTTTTCTTTTATGAGGCACACCACGCAGTCGCCACGAGTTGAAACAATCATGGAACAAAAAACTGTATTTAAGAACCTGCATACAGATTTCAGTCATCTGAAGTACGTTCTTTGGTTGCTAGATCCTCGCTTTTGTGGCATGTCACAAATTCACAGCATAACTAAAAGCATGCATTAAAGTTGCATTTTAGTTAATTTAATTGCAGACCCAATTAAAAGCTACGATCTAAAGCTGGAAAATCAAAAGAAAAATTTCCAGCAATTTCTTGATTCAGGCACTGAAGGGTTAAGGCTTGCCATATTTCGCATGAACGTTATCTAAAACTTTTAGAGGTTAGTATGACGTGTGGGTCATTTGAAAACATTCCAGATGCGACTCGCAGCAGTGCAGGTAGGAAGCCATGAAGCCAGCTTTTTAGAAACGTTATATGCAGGCAAATGCGTCTTATATTAATTTGTTTTGAAGCTGAAGCAAATATAGAATACCATAACACACTCGACAGAACATCAAATATTTACCCACGCCCATGAAAACCTATCGTATCGCGAGAAGGCGGGTTTGGAACCTTCAGGGCGTCAGAGTTGCGCATCTCTAATTTACGAGTGCTTGCTGGTTTATGTTTCATCACAGTATTAGCACATAATTTACTGTATGTGTTAGTGCATTCTCAGATGGCTGGCATATACACTGGACATGGCAGCAGCCATGTTTTGCATAATCTCTTTGAGCATGATAACCATGTGAACCCATGATTGCAAAGGGGAGGCTAATGGCAGTAATTTGATATCTTAAGGGGCCCTCCAACACTTCAGCATGGTCAGAAACCCTGCTGATTGGTAGTCGAAGCCCCTGAGAACATGCGAGCTAACATTACAGCACAGCACGCAATCTGGGATTCACAATTACTTGACAATCAATTTCGCTGGTATTCACAATTACTTGACAATCAATTTCGCTGGTATTAAAGGAGAGAGGAAGTGCTTAAGCGAGCGGCAAAACCTTGCAACTCCGCTCGTTCTTTACAAATTTCAATAATTTTTGAGACAATGAGCTCTTGAAGTGACACAATTAGACGATTGCTCAGGAAAGTGTTGCACGGGATAGCAGAAGTGAACTGCAGAAGACACAGGGAATTCTCTTAGTTACAAGGTTTTAATCAACATTCTTCATAAAAGTGTACAATTCAAGACGCTGCACAGCACAACTGGGCCATGTAAAAAGGACCTAAAATGAGCTAAGGCTGTACACTTTTTTTTCTTTTTATACACAACACTGCTGGCCCATGCATACACACACACATGCACACATACACATATGCCTGCCATAGTGCTTTTTATGTACACATTCTACAAGAGCAGCATAGCATCCACTCCGGCTGACTTGGTGTGCATGAAGCCCCTTTGTTTTGTTTTTTTTCTGTTTTCTTTATACATAGATGTCTCCTGTTGCCCAAATAGGTTGTCATGTGTACCTCGTATTTATATGTATATATATAATTTTATTTATATTTATATATATATATATGTATACTTATATATTTATAGTATGTATAATATGTAACAAGGCTAAGTAGATACATTGCTCTTCAAACCATTGTATATGCAGGAAAAAAAAACCACTCTTCACCAAAAGGGCTGCGTCATGTACAGGCACAATAAATAAATTCATAGAAGAAAACAAAAAAGGCACAACAAAAAAGACTAAGACTTCCTGTCCCCCTTTTCATTAAATAGTATACACATGCACAATAATGTACAGCTGAGCTGATGAGAGAACGGGATGTAGTGGGAGGAAGAAGACAAATCCTTTTATATACAGCACGGCTGACATGTTCTCACGAGTTCATCTTGTTAGCCCCTGTCAATATTAATCAAAACTGGGTAGTCAATATATATCTAGGCTCAATGCATGTAGATCGTCTGGTAAATATGTCCCCGTCTCCCGCTCCCCATTGTCATGCTGATATGTTGACTTGACTGTGTTACTATTTTACCAGACAATTTGAGGCAGAATGCCTATTTGTGCAAGCTAAAAAGTTCTTTGCCAAATGTTGCTTATGTGATCTTCAAACAATGTTTATGCTATGCATAAAAGTTAGTCTCAGAAAAGACAGCATTTCAACAGCTACCAGCCAAGTCACAACTAATAAAGACCAAGTCACATTAAAAAAACAAAAATAGCCTAAACTAGACTATAAAAAGCTTCCTTCTTAGTAAAGAATGTTATGCAGTGACAGAATAATGCATCTAAGTCTGGGCAAAAAACAAAACACATTGGAGAGAAAGTCTCAGCTAAAACAGTCCTTCCACCGGCAGGTAAAACAACAGTTGCGCTGCTGTTGCTGACCTAAGCGCTTTCAGTAGTGTACATATATTATGTGCATATATTAACAACATAGCTGATGTTCAAGAAGGCAGCTTTAAAAATGAGCAAAACAAGAACATGCTTTTTCATTTCCCTTCTCCCTGCAGTCTGTTAAAGAGGCAAGAAACCATTTTTTTTTTACATTTGTACAGAAGATGCTGCATCCTCAGCAAGAGTATGAAACAAGTGTGCTGAAGGAGGAACAAGGGAGAAAGAGGGGAAAAAAAAAAGAACAACATGGGAACTAAGCAATAAGCGCTCACACATGAGAAAGTCACCAAGAGAAACAAGAATGCCGCCAAAAAAAAGGGCTATGACCTGTGCGGCAATGACAACTGTAACGCATGCAGTCATTATGAACTGTAGGATGACATTCCATTCGCAATGGAAGCAGCTGCCACTGACTCACTTTTCCCTGAGAGTAGTAACAGAACTATTTCACACATATGAATGCACGTCAGAATGGGGCAAAAGGTATTGCTTCGTTGACTATGGCCCCGATGCATGACATAGCGTGGTATGTGCTGAGCTGGTAGCCTTCTGGATAGCAGCCAATGATCAAGGCTGCTTTTTCTCTTTGGCTTTGCATTGTCTGTCTTGGAGGTAAGGGTTCATAATGCATTATCATAAAAGCTCTCTCGTGGCATTTCCAATGACAGCATGAGACACAGTATGCACATTGTGAATATGCAGACTGCCCCCTACACATACAAGGAATGTCTCTGTGACGTAGCTCATTTACATTTATCCAACTGAAACAGGTATTGCTGCTCGTCTGGTACTATGCCTGTGAAAAAAAACCAATATACTGGTGCATTTTTAAAATAACAGCACCTCTTGCCGTATACCAAAAACGAATAAAAAGGGAAGAAAGAAGAGGGAGAATCCTTCATGTCTTGGCCCCACAGCAACCACCAGAAGCATAATCTTATGTTAAGAGAGTTTTTTGGTTCACCAACAGCATTCCCTCAATCCAAAATCCTTTCCAAGAGCGGCAACAACACTGTCTGCAAACTGGCACATATGTTCACCCGGTGAAAGCAGCAGTAAAAAAAAAATAAAGCACAGGTACCGGTTCAAGGACTGAGGATGACAGCATCGATATAATACATAACAACAACAAACACGACGTGATGGCAGCGCTCGCAGGATGGGAGAGAAAAAACACAAAAGGAAAACAACTTTTCTCCTTGCACCGGCCAACCTCTTCCGCACACAAAGCTGCACTTGCACCAGCCTCTCGCTTTTTTTTTTTTTTCACAGGCGAGAGCGCTCACAGCCTTAGATGAGACAAAAACGCGAGACCACTCTCTCCTTAGAGGAGTGCCTCCACAGCATGGTAGAGCTTCATCAGGTTTTGGATGTGTAACGGCAGACAAGACTGCCTGTCATGGCTGTGTGGATCAAGCGAGAGCCACGAAAGCGTGTTGTAACCTTCCAGCACGTACCTGCGACCAGCGATCATGTTTGAGGTCAGAACATGGATGGCACATACAGCACTAAGCGCACTGCAATACGAACTAGTAGTTGCAAATTCTACGGCACAAGTGCGGTGGCACAATAAAAACTAAAAAAATATGCAAGATGTGGTGTAAGACAGCCATTACTCTCTTGCACCATAAAATCCCCAGCAAGTGCTAGTCACATTCAGTGTAACTGTATACAATGGTACGAGATCTTACATAACAAAATAAAGGAGGAAGAGCAAAATGTTCCAAAAAGGTAGAAGGGAAACACTGACAATTCTAATGCTGTATTTTTTCACTGTACCTGTGAACAGCCCCTTACACTAATTAGCAAAATGAGCTACTTTTGAGCCAATGGTGTACAAGCCAATACATACCGTAGCACATCGGTGGTCAAGTTCGAATCAAGCGGGTGGTAGTTGCGCATGTGTGTGTTTCCATGCAAAATGTCATCGTGGTTCTGGTGTACAGTGGGGCAGTGCAGAAGCAGGGCACTCTGTAGGAAGAGAGCAAGCAGGATGGATCAGATTAAGAAAAACAGATGGTGAATAAACATTAAATAAAAAATATTCCCTCAATGCCACCAGCTGTACATTGCAACCAACAACTGCAGAGACAAAGCAGCAAACAGACGGTCGAAATTGAGCACTCTAAATCAGCTCCGCTGGTTTTTCAGAGCACTCAAGAGATGCTCTCACCTCCAATATTTCATCATGTGACACCTGTGCCTTGCCTGTTTGCAACACAAGATGCAGTAACGTGTTTATTCTTAGTGAAAATATATTGCACCAGTACATTTGCTGGCTGCAGTCATCACAGAGTTGATCACTGTCGCACTTGGTGATAGTTTTTTCACCAATCGCTCTGGCCAATGGTTGCACGTTAGACTTGGAAATATGTTCTCAGGCACAGATCAAAAGCAGGCTTCGCATTGTTGCAATCGGAATAAGAGCACTGTGGCGCTCAGTTGAATGTACCAACAGATTACTGAAGGGTGGTGGTTTAGCAATGACCACACTACATTTTTTTAAAGCAATCTATAGCAGAATGCTAAAAAAATTGCCAAACTTGCCGGAAAAACTTTTTCTACATTGTAACTTCCTGTGACTGTTGCCTTTGTCCATGATTGTACAGTTAGCATTAATAAATAGTTCAGGTATCATGAGATAAGAAAAACTTTCATTATTCCAGCTGGTTTGACAGGTAGTCTTGAATCTAGATCTCTGACCCATTCTAAGATGCACAGACGTGTACAGTGCAGTTTCACTGAACACAGTCACAAATTGCTGGGAAATTCAGTGTCCCCGAACCTAGTGTTCTCTAACCTTATGACGAAAACTGTAAATCTTAAATTGACTAGCAACATTGAGGTTTTCTCACAGAACTGTCACACCGAGAAGGAGAGGTACAGAGGGAATGCAAACCATTACTTGGCTTGAGTGCTCACCTTGAGGAAGACAGGACATGAACCCCTTAGGTGGGGGCATGTAGCCCAGAACCACCGAGGCAAAGGGCCTGTCGGTGCAGTGGACACGTAATAGCCCAATGCCAAAGGTTGTTGCAGCAGCTGCATAGGTTCTTCTTGGGGCTCCCCACCACCACTTCCGGGACCCTGAAAACATCAAGCAAAGCACTCGGAATGTTAGTAAAAGAAGCATAGGTGATCTTGCCTTGAGCGTTACCTAAATACTATTACCACTGTCACGTGCTTCAATAAAGAAATACTAACACACGGTCTAACCTTGAGGCAACAAAATTCTCGGACATTAAAAGTCCCACCAAGAAGTAATATTAGATCTCCAGTGAATGCACAAAGGCTCTCAGTTTTTCCTACCTAAAAAAAAAAAAATTGTCACTAAAATGGAATCCTCCATAAATAAAATTTGCTGTAATGTTGAAGTCGTTCAACGATTACCATATTCACTTGCATAATTTGCGCACTTTTTTTTTAGATTTTGGGGCCCCGAGAACGGGGTTCGCAAATTACATGGCGATTTAGCAAGTGCATACAAAATATTGTGTCACAGTCCCAACGCGCACAGTATATATATAAAAAAGAACTAAATTGGAGAGTACAAACGAAGTGTAGTTATTAATTTGGAAAGAATTATCGAGTACTTTAATCAGTCAGCCAGTCAGATCCAGTTACGTGTGGTCTAGCAGGAATCACTGATCGCGAAGTCTGATTTGGAATTATCGTCGCAACCGCTGCCCCCCCCCCCCCCCCCCCCCCCCGAAGTGCATTGTCCTCGGTTCCGTCGAGCGCGTTCGAACGCCCCATTCTCTTGAAGCTCTTTCAAAATGCTGGGAGAAACTAGGTCCCAGGACTTGGCAGTACCGCAAAAACTAAGCATCTGCACATAATTGAAAAGATTTCTTCCAATGACAGAAAACTTTCATTAGCAAGCGCGGACTCTTCTGCTTTCTCGAGTGCTGATCGTGCCGGTAGTCACATTGAAGTGCGTCCCCTTTGCGGCGCCACGCTTCCCGTTTTCTTCGGTTAAATTTACAACAGCGATCTTCATTTCACCATATATATAAACTCTGTAGCACATCGCAAGGCAACCGTCAAAACGCATCGGCCAAATGGTAAAACCTAAACTTCCGAAATCGACACCAAGCGTGCGTTGCAGCGCGGACACAGAGAATGAGAGGAACAGTTGGCGCGACAGGCCCTCGCACGCCTCCGATGCAGATATCATCTGTGCCGTGATTCTAGCGTGCATTCTCGCCATTATCGTGGTGGTAGAGATTAGAAGATAGGGGAAGGCAAACGCTCTAGCAGTTCCGGTGACCCGTCAATAGGTTTGTGCTCGGGTGTAGTATTTTATGGACAAGAGTTCGGCGAAAGTCCTGGGAAGAAGGAACTTCGAACTCGCACCCTTTTCACTGCGTTTGTCAGCTCGGTGAGGCGCACACCCGGCCGAAGTATCGAAATGTCCAAAGGTGCGTGTGCCGGCAAGCTGGCTCGGGCGGGGTGGGGGAGGGCGATATATGGGAGTAAATTTTTTTTCCCGAAAACTGACAAAATATTAAGGGTGCGTAAATTATGCAAGGCCATAAATTATGTGCATAAATATGTTACTTAGGTTTCTCAAGGCCCTTTTAAAACCGTTGCAGTATGCCATTACAACAGCCCTACAACACATGTGCTGCAAAGCGGGTAGCTGAAGTGCCAGTACATATGTTGACTGCAGTCATCACAGAGTTGAGCATTGTCACACTTGGTGATTGTTTTCTTTATTATATACAACCAAATTAATCCAATAGAGAATTATGCCAAGGAAGGCATAGGGGAGATTATTTCTTGTCTTTAACTTTAATGTACTAATGGATCCATATTTACATAAACTTAAAAGGATAATAAAGAGGTTAGGTTATTAAAGATAGAACAGGGAATGTCTTGAATGTGTACAAGAGGACTACGTAACCCTTAGTCAGGCAATTTACTGATTAACCCTGAAAACACATTGTGTTTTATCCCCCTCTTGTTCATATTGTTAGAGGCCCCAAAAAACATAGCAAAACCTGGCATCTCACCCTAAGTGCACTGCCATGGTGAAAGGGTGATTGACGCCCGCTTGGACCACTGCCCAACATGCCACCTCCGGGAGAACCTGGTGGCGAAGATCGCCGAGTAGGTGAGCAGGGTGCCTCTGGACTGTCTGTCCAGTTCAAAATGTCGTTGAAGTCATTGCCAACAGCTATGTCTTCTGTGAGCGACTTGAAGATCTCATCGTCATCGCCAAGTGTAGTCGACAGTGGGTCCATGTGGTCCTGTTGAAAGGTGGCCTGTGACGACTGTCAACAAGACATGCCAAGACAATGGGTCAGAAATTGCAAACTGCCATAAACTGCATTTGAATCAATGTAACATGGAACAATGACCCGTGCCTAGACAAGCATCATCACTTTGACCCAAGTGCCTAGACAAGCATCATCATTAATGCTTATCCACTGACACACAGATTTATCATCATCAACATAAGCTTGCAGGTTACCTCATCTGACCACACCACATAATCCCTTAGCACAATCAGCTTGTTTGCCTTAACCATTCGATTGCTCCACAGACTGCGGTAATCGTGACAAAAGATTATGAGCTGTACCCATATTATGCTCACAAAGGTTCTTCTTAGTGAGCAATAAAAAACAACATCGCAACTATTTCAGCATGTACATATAGGCATAAAGAAGTTGACTTATTACACAACACTAAAATATAGTCTTCATGAAATGGACTTCACAGAAAATTATCACAAGCCCCTTAACAACTTCACACGAGCTGCAAATTTTACAGATATGTCACATAGAGCATGAACTGTTTTATGGCAAATATCCAATCCAGCCATATACAAAATGCAGTGCGAGAAACAGTGCAAGTGAACTTGCTACATGATAACAGACACTGCACAAGCTGACACCTAGCCATCTACCTTCAAGATCATTTTGGTGGAATAGTTTACTTGTATTATCCAAACTTGCAGTACGTAGGGAATTCGTCGGTTGGGCAGCGTTCTTTCTTTTGTCTCCTTTTTCTTCTTTGTGTAGGATGAATTAAAGTCTTCATTACATTCAGTTATGTGTTTAGATATATATTGTATCTAAATTTAAAATCCTAAGTAGGTGGTCCACTTACAATAGAAACCAAATCTAGTACTGCCAGTAATGGTGAGAAAAGAAGAAATCAATGATACTGTGGCATGGTTGCAACTCATTTGCTTTCTCGATCTACCTATACCATAAAATTATTCTGCACCCTTGTGAAGAAGCAGGAAAAATAAAAAAAGAAAACCTTTTGTAATATTTGTTTATTTATTCATTTTTTTACTTCAAAGGACCAGTAAGCAGGCTCAGACTTTTTTCACGCCCCCAAAATAAACTTACTAATTCGTACAGCAGTCTGCGGCGATCATCGAATATTGCAGCGCCGCGCACAATGCAGACCATCCATTTTGAAAAACAATTCCCGTTTTGACTTCGACTAACCAATCCTTCTGGTAAACGCAGTGATGAAATCTTTCCTATGGGATCATACACTGAGCTTGTCGATTGGCCTTTTGCCCAATGAAACAGCCCCTAGGCCATTGGCCTTTTGCCCAATGAAACAGCACCTAGGCCATGCAGCACGTAGTTTTAGCCACGCAGTTTGCATTTTCATTTTCTGTGCTGCCCTCCGTATTATTGTACAGCCCGAAACTACGCGAAGTGGTATTGCCAGAAAGCCTCCGAGATAAAGAGGCGTCCCGCTACGTTACCGCTAGGGGAAGGGTGTTTCTTGCACCGTGCTTCTTCCCCTTGTCGCTATGACATGGGCTCACGTGGGGGAGATTCTGGTCAACTGTTGCCTGCGCGCCTATGAAGTATTGCTGATGAAGTGGGCGTAGCCGCAACACAGGGCTATGCCTGCAGTTATGTGCTGGGACAGAAAGGTGGGAAGAAGGAGCGAGAAACTGAAACCAGTCAAAGCGGGTCATTCTAAGCACTGTAACTCCCTTACTACAGTATTTATTTGCAAAGTTCTCTCGGCAGCATGTTGACATTGTACAAGTGCGCAGTTACTTCACCGTTAGAAATTTCGAACCACCAGTTGTTTACTGGCCCTTTGATCATACTGTTCCCCCTTGTTTGCCATGCGGAGTGCTGCTGCTGATTAAAATAGCGACCCTTCCGGCAGTTATTGATACTCCTATGATTGTCGTGCGCACCACTTTCGGAGTGTCGATTGTTGATAGAAGAGTTGTGGTTCCAATCAGCAGCCACACTTGGGACGAGGAACGTTTGTCGAGTGGCGATTTTTTGGGCAGGGCATTGGTAATGAATAGAACAGCTTGTTTATGACTTTCCAACACCTGTGTTGGGCAAGCGGGCAAGAATCGAGATGTGCCACCGATTCTTTCGCCTCTCTTCAAAATGCCCTCCACTTTCTCACCTTCCACCACTCCTGCGGGCGCTTTTCAAACAGCAGTTCTCGTACAGCTAGCTCAAATAGCGATTTGGTCTTTAAACATGCCATTTGTTTCTTATAACCAGTCCTCAATTTCTTTTCTTTATTTGACCGAATGTGGGGCCTGCAAACTTCACTGTACGGCTTCAGGCCGGGGAGTAATTTTGATTTCACAAAATAAACCTTTTTAAAAATATGCGTACAATGCTTAGCACACAAATGTACAGCACAGATCGCTTTAATGTAAATTGCCAGAGTCACGAATATCCACACTATAACCACTTTTGAAAGGCTGTATATGTGCAAAACATAACCAACAGGCAGTCGCTGATTTCAACAATCGAAGCACGCGACCATGGTGCAAGTTTGTAGCCACTTAAATTTGCAATTGTTGAACGGTTGATATCTGCGGACCTGCAGCAAAAGCATAACAAACGTGGAAAAAAATGCTTTGTAGTGAAAAGACGCCACTTAATTTCTTAGACTTCATTTTTGCAGACTTCATCGTGGTACTACACCGCACAGAAACTACACGCCGAGCGGCAATTGAAATTCTGCACGCTACTGATTTCCAGCGAGTCTGCATGATTTTGAAAGCAAAGACTTCCACGAACCATTACCACTCAAAGTTGCTTAAGCACACTCTGGTTTTCATTAAAAATTTAGGTCACTCCTTCACGTTTCATTCACTCAGCACCCAACTGCAACTTTGAGAGCCTGAAGCCACTACAGCTCTGCCTAGCATGCGGGTAGCAACTTGGCAAGCTGTTGCTGGAAGCTTGCCCAAGACAACACGGATACCGAATATCGAAGAAATTGCACTCAAGAGCTAAACTCAGTGCAGCACATGTAACACAGTTTCAGTTCATGAGAAAAGCCATAGCAACTATCCTGCAAAGTATCGCAAATGTTGTTGAGTTGCTGGGAAAGACAGTTTGATTGCCTCTTAAAGGATTTTTCCTTGCAACGGAATTAAGGCCGCACATGTGATATTTGCATTCTGCGATGACGAAACCATTTTTTGAACAGAAAAACAGAGTCAGACAGTGGTACCGCGCACTTGATGTGGACAAGGGCACCCATTCATTCGAAGCGGAGCGTGCACAACAAGTGGCTGGAGCAAAGAGGGAAAGGCTTCTCTATCATTTCGGCCACTGACCCTCTTCCTTGAACCGCATCCCTGCTACTCCCCCCCCCCCCCCCCCCGCTTCCAACTCTGCCCATTCTTTCCTTTTTTCTGCTCCGCGGCCCATTCGCTAGATCCACATGTTACTCATCCTCCATGACAATGATTTTGCTTTCTCGCTGGCCGGCGTTCACTCCTCGCTTCTCTGCGAATTTTCGGCAGTCGTATTATAACTGGTCTTTTGTCTAGGGGGACTGCACAATAAGCACTAGGTAGAAACTCTGAGTTTCATGGGAAGGTGAACGAGAGTAAACAAACTGCTTTACAGCCAGTCCTGCACTGTAAATGGTTCCATTATAAATTGTCTGAGCTGTATTGCATCCTGCCCCATTTAATTATGATTGGTAATTGCATGCATGACTTCGTACTAAATAATTACTATTATACATGAAATGTTAATGTAACTGTAGCCGAGAATTACACTTGCCAATGCATACTGGTTTGACAATGTACATGTCGATTCCTTGGTATTTTACAATAGTCTTTGAGTCTGCCTGAATTTACGCTCTAAACCATGGTTTCTCAAACTAGTTCAGCGAAAAACTTTTCAGCGTTCCTCGAATGACCCCCTCCTGTTTTACCTCCATTAGCACCTAATTAGTTTATTTAGACATAAGAAATCTAGTAAAGGGCAAGTTATTGCCCTTTACTAGATTGAAGCCATTGCACACTGCGACTGTACATCAGAAGTCTCCGATAGCAAGAGATACAGGTGGCAGCAGATTAAACATGTCATCTAGTGCAGGCATAATTTGTGAGCTTGTGAAGGCAGAACGCATGGAGCTATGGTAATTCATGCTCGGTGCAGTTTCCAACACCTACACGATAATGAACTCTGTAGTTCTATATTTCAAGATTCAGGATTGGGTGTCCAAAGCACTTTAGGTGACATCAACAGGAACGTCGCCACTTTATCCTGGCTTACGCCACGCTGGTGTTCACATGACGCAGTTTTTATAACCACCGGTCTGCCTCTGCAGCATGTCAATTTCGTAATCAAAACAACTACGAATGAGCGCTTTCATATGTGCAGGCGGAATCCTTTTGTACCATCGGTGGGCTGCACAAGAATTTAGGCCGAGCCTTAAGACTGCTATGACGATAGTTATAGCGCGAGAACAAAACGACGACACAGAGACAAGAAGGACACGAAAGACACGCGCTATAACTATCGTCATGCCATACCAACTAGCCCAAGCTGCCACACTTTTAAGACTGCTGTATTGTTTGTGTGAACACACTGCTTACAGCACGCGATTCTTGAAGTGTTTCATGCTACTTTTGGGGAGGAGGGGGGGGGGGGTACGGAATCGGGTTTCTGTATTATAAGAGGTTCCACAGTAACAGTCATGGCCTTGGCCTACCTTATTATAAATAACAGGCCAATGTGGGGGCAGTGTTAATAGCGCGGCTATGCACATTGAGAAGCGTAATCCCCTACTCAACCCCTGCTCTCTCTCTAATTTCCTGCTTCCGATTAACTGCGGGCAAATGAAACAGTTTGATTGATATATCGGGTTTAACGTCCTGAAACCACAATATGATTATGAGAGATGCCGTAGTGGAGGGCTCCGGAAATTTCAACCACGTGGGGTTCTTTAATGTGCACCCAAATCTGGGCACACGGGCCAACAGCATTTTCGCCTCCAAACGAAACAGTTCGGAGCTCTGGAAAAGGCATTAGTTTTTAAGGCCAGAAAGTTTGGGAACCCATGCTCTAAGGAATGGTCTGTGACATCATTCGTACAATCTAAATCTTATTCCAGCCTGGGCACATTAAAAATTGAAAACCTGTGTCTATACACTAAATGTAAGAACTGAAGTGTACTAACATCTCATAAAGCCATGCAAGTTAGCAGGTATGCAATGGTTATCCAAACCCGTACAGTTAAAAGCACACAAGCTGTTTCTAGAAAAGGCTGCTTACCTGGGTAGTCGCAGAGGTAGGAAAGACGAGAATGTGAGTAACAGTCGCATCGTGTGGAGTGCAAAGATCGTAGTTCACGCACGAAGATGAGAACCGCTCGTCTGGCGTAAACTGGTCGTGGAAGAGCCGCAACGCACTATCTGGTTCCAGTGACACTAGGCACGCCGACAGTACACAGGGACCCCCCACAACACCACCCCCACCACCACACGCAGAAGAGGAGGAAGACGACGACGATGCAGCACACTGATGACAGAGTTCCCGCAGACGGCGCGAATAGCGCAGCAGACTTCGTCGACCCAAAAGTCCGGCCCACTCGCGCAGTTCGCCGTGGCCGACACGGCCCAGCCGACCAACAATTAGTCGCCACGGCTGGGCGACTGCACCACCAGCACGAGCACCACATGCCGCAACACCCAACAACCACTCAAGCAACTTTTGCAGGCCCAGTCGACGAACACACACTTTTTTCCTACGTGTCCTGTAAAACAAGAATGCAACCAAATGCGTTATTTACACAAGGACGGCTGCTGAATGATATCAAATACAGTCAAATCTCGTTACAGCAAACCTCAGATTAACGATTTTTTAAATTATTGACTATTTCAAAAAACCCCATTGGTTTAATGCAGAAATATTTCACTACTACGAATTTTACTACTACCAACTAATGTGCTCCAAGTATGGCAAATTTTAACAGTAACATAAAATCCTGCTACTATTCAGTTTTCTTTCACTTTATTTGATGCTAGAAGATGGCATTTTAAACAGGCGTTGTTTCAAGCTTTTAAAAATATTTTGCAGATTAGTTACATTATGACAAATATGCCCATTTTTTTTTATAATATGCGATATGTATACTATTCGAATTCAATTCCATACTACTCGTCCAAAATCACAATTTACTTCGAACCTAAAATTCACTATCGCACAAGCCTACCAAGCACCTTAAGATGCTGCTGCCAAAATCTAGTAGTGTATCACAAATTAAATGCCATTGCATGCTCCAAAAGACCGAAGACATAAAGGAAAAAAATGTAGAGGTGCCTGTGATGGCGTTGCACTAACCGGTTCGGGATTTCAATGTTGATGGAGCAGTTGTCGAGCAGGTCGCCTTTGTCATTGCTGACACTAGCTAGAAGCCAACGCTGGTCCTCAGTCAGGCAGTAAGCACAGAAGAGGATGCCACACCTTTCCCTGCGGTCCCCAAACATCTCACCCAGCTCAGTCTGCTTGTCCTTTTGTGGAGCAAGAACAAATGGCGGGCTCCACAACTTCATTGGATTGACACCGCCCTGCCAAGAAAGTGCACATGGGTATATGTAACTGTTGTACGACATCCCTAACTAAGATTAGCTAATCGAATAGTGTGGATTCAAAATACCCAACATTTTTTAGAATAATCAGCACCATTGACAAAACCTCAAAGAAGTGAAACATTGCAAGAAAAAAGGTCACTTTTCATGTTTCAACTGTTCAATTACCAAGAAATGTGTTGCCCAAACTGATATGGGACCATCAAAGGTATAGTACAACCTCATTACAACAGACCTCCAGAGTGAAGAAAATTTCAGTCTGTAGTAAAAGGAGTACCGTATTTACTCGCATAATAGGAACACCCCAAGTTTGGTCGCAAGACATGGAATGGAATGAAAAACTTTATTTGGTCGCAAGACATCAAATTTTGTTTTTACTTCCGCGAAGTTTTAGGAAAATGTTATAGAATTACAAGGCTGTTTTGAAGATGCTTACGTTACTATTAGAAAACTATTCGTATATCATTCTATTTGTATTTGATCTGGTGTCACCACTATTCAATTTATATTCAATACGTTTTCAAAATTAACTAATTCCACAACCTAACAACTTATGTCTCTCCACAATCTGCATTGCCCATTTGTACTTTTGGACACATAACGGCACTGCATGCATAGCATGCAAGAATCAGTGCAGCTGAAACACCCAATTTCAAGAGAAATGTGGGCATTCATGATAACTTTTCCTTTCATTGCTTGAATCAACCAAATTTTCTGTCACTCCATAACCATTCAAAAACATTTTGAAATAAAGTCTCACCAGTCGGGACTTCAAAAATTCATCCTGTGCAGCTGCTGGACCAAATCCTGTGAGAGATTTGACGTTGGACTGATGCGTGATAAGCCGTGCACACTGATAAAACATGGAGAGGGCGTGTGACCGCAATTGATCTTGTCGTCGAACACCTTCTAACGTGTTGCCAGCGCCTCCCAAGATCGAGTCCAAGCTCAGAATCTGAAATAATATTTTTCTTTTAGAACACACACACAACTGCATACTGGTTATGTGCTTGAAGTACAGAGTATGCGATTCACACTTCATTAAATGCGCACAAGGGTACCGAAGACAGTACAGGTAAAGCCTTAGATATAGGCTATAAACTTGGTAAAAATGCACTTAAGTGAAAATTAAGTAGTCTCCAGAGAAACCTCACATATCCCCTGGTCATGCGGCAACGTGCACTTTGACAACTTGGTTAAGTTCAGGCGAAACCTCTGAAGAAAAAACAAATTAAAAACTAGGTGTATGCATATGTTTTTAGAACAGTGCTTGCTATTCGATTCAATTCGAACAAGATTTTTACTATTCGCAATATTCATACTTTTAGGAAATAAATATACAGTCGAAACCCTTTATAAGAGAAACTGATATACAAGACAAATGGGCATAAGTGACACAGGTGTGCCCACAGAAAAAATATGGTTAAGAAAATGCATACAAGGTACCCTGCTTACATCTCATATAGGAGACAAGAATTGCTGCCCAGAGCATGCCTCTTATAGAAGGGCTTAACTGTAACAGTTTCATTCGCTAAAAATATCGCTGTTGCACATAAACCCGAATCTTCTCACAAACTTCAATCCACCAGGAAGGTTGACAGCTACCACTGCATCCCAATGCTATTTTAGAGAAGGTAGCTCGATCAGCATGCAGAGATTGGCCAGAAAGCAGCGTGAAAGTGCAAAGGTCAGCATCTGCTTACACCGTACTTCATGGAATGTAACGTGCACGCAGTGTTGACAACCACAGGAAAAAAAAAGAGGCAGGCACTTCTCATCCTGCCAAAGTGAAATTTATTCTGCTACAAAGAATGCACCAATACCTCTTTGCGATAAACTATAAATGATAAGCATCTTAACGCAACTAAATTATCAATGCCGTTCATCCCTGTACCTTACCTTAAGGGCAGGACTGCTTTAATAAAGTGCATGTAAATTATGAAAAAAAGCTAAGGCTGGTGTGAATAGTCAATTTTAGGTTCAAAGCATATGGTGACTAGCTGAATAATTTTTAATCAAACTGGAATAATACAAATTTCATATTATGAAGAAAAAGAAAAATGTTTGTTATGACCCAAATAACCTGCACAATAATTTTTTAAAACTGAAACAAGGCATATCTAAATGCCATTGTTCTTGGTTCAAAGCATGTGGAAACAATTGAATAGTAGCAGGATAGGACTTTTGGTAGAATGAAAGTGATAACCTGCTTAAACTCTTGTGGAAGCCCAAATGATGTAGCAGACAAGAGTGTGCCCTTCGAGTCTGGAGTTCCTATCTGCCTCGTAGATGTCAACATATAAAACATCTGAAATTTTGGACGCAAAAATTATTCTGCGCTCGATTTTTCGTACTTCTGGCCGAATTTCAGGACAAAAACAGCGTTATTAAAGCCCCGCCTGTGCCACATCTATCAACTCCATGTTGGAACCAGCGTTTTCTTGAGTCAATACATTTGCGACCCCAGCAGAGCCTAAAACGTAGCGTTGCCGTAATACAAGTGTGATGGGATGAAGCCTCCTAAAAATCTGAAGTGATGACTACCAATTGGACAATAATTGTAAAGTTAAAGCCCCTTTATAAGAGGCACGCTCTGGGCAGCTATTCTTATAAGCAGGGTACCTTGCATCAATTTTTTTTATCAACCCATATTTTACTGTAGGTACACTGGTGTCTCTTCTATCCATTTATCTCTTATATCACTGGTCTCTTATAAAGGGGTTCAACTGTATTGGTCTTCGGGAAGTTTGAATAGTTCGAATAGTAAAATTCTGGTTTGAACCGAACAGGAAGCACTAGACCAAATGTATTAGAAATTTTCAATATTCGCACAGCCCTAGTTTGTACAAACCACCAATTCCAGTTCTGAACTAAATGAACCTTCGTGAACTTGCAACACAATGTGCTCACCATTCCGAGATGGTAATAACGCTGTTTGACACCTCTAATGGCGGTTGACGACGTCACAAATGTGGTTTCAGTTTACCCAACGATCACAGCAGGAGAAGAATAGCCGGTGAAACGAATTTTGCATCCCATGAGAGAGGATACTGATTTTTTTTTTCCCACCTGATGCTCAACTAAGGGGCGTGTCATGGCGTGTCATAGTTTAAAACCTCATAACGTATCATTCAGGTGCATAGTTATTTTAAACTCTCAAAAATTAAATGTGCATAATGTTCAATTAAACATGGTTATAAGCAAATAATGCATTCGCACTTCTATGCTGCACTCTTTTTTGTCCATGGATACTAGCTGAGCTACCATATTTACTCGCATAATCATGTACTGCAGTAGACTCTCATTAAACGGAACGTGAAGGGATCAAAAAACGTGTTTTATTTAACAGGAGTTCTGTTACTGAGACGATGAGCAGGGGCTGAAGAATTCAGGTACAAAACCAATTGTGCTAGAGGCAGCTGTTCAGTTTAACAGATTTCCATTCACTGAGAGAGCACTATAATACAATTTGGCCTCTACATTGCCTCATTCTTGATAAGACAACAGTGAAAAACCATACCGCCAGCACTTTATCAATCTAGCAAAAAGGAACATTATCATATTGCCATAAATCTCATAAAAAAATGGTTAAAAATCTTTTCGAACTTTTTTCCTCACAACTTCACTTCACACTATTTAAAAAAATAAAAATATTCAAGAAATATTAGAAAAATATTTAACTCCATTTGTGTATACACTTCAACATTCATATCATTTTCGCACCCAAAATTTTGCTATTAACACAGCTCTAGTAGAATGTAAACCAATAGGCCTGAGTAGCTGCTTTCACTGCTTAGCGATCCTCCACTGCAGTGAAAGAGTCTTTACAGGGGTAATACATGCGGATTAATACACACTTCATCCATTCATTTTGAATAGTACTCTAATAAAATTTTCAAAAATTTAAATTTGAATCAAAGCAAGTGTGAACATTGTAATATTCGCACAAGCCTAACATTGTGCTGTACAAGGCAAGCATATCTCGGAGAGACCGATTACTCTACTTGCATTCACATACCTGAACATAAGTGTTGCTCTGCAGAGGCTCGGGCAGACACTCCAGAAGTTGGGAGAAGCACCGATGCAGGCCCAGAGTGGCTGAGCGCAGAACATCAGGATCCGAGCAGCCGAGCGTGAATGGTTCCACCAGGTACACAACCAGAGCTGGGGGCTGCTGCTCCTCTTCACCCTCATCCGAGGTAAATGCTGGTGCACTGGTGCCCGATGAGCCACCCGTCGTCGACCCCGACGCACTGCTGGCGCCACCACCGAAACTGGCACCGCTCCCCGAGCCTGTGCTGGTTGGCACTGCGCTCGAGGCAGATTGGTTGGAAGATGGCGTAGAGCTACTCTGGTTTCCTGCAGAAGTTCCTGGCCCCGCAGCTGTCCCTGCAGCTCCTGACGCTGTTGATGTTTCCTGGGAACTCTCTGAAATGCAACATTGCAGAATGAAAGGTTTCTAAGTTTTAATAATAGCCCTTATCTTCTTCACACAAACAATGCAGCCTGCCACTGAACATTTCTTTTTATAATCCATTCCTTAATACTCTGAATATGTGCGCAGCCCAAATATTGTCAAGGTAAACGGACTGAGACAACCAGTTTAAACTAAAGAAATATAAGCTAGGCTGGGAAAGGCTTACATAAATGATACCTCAGCACAAACAGCACTTCAAATTAGCATGAGAACGGTCATATAAAACCCATGTAAAACCACCATCCACAGGCCCGCCAGGCAGGTGCATGAGAAAGCATTCACCAACCTGCCGTATCATGCGGTCGTGGCGTGGCATTTCCATCTTGAGCTGCCTCGGGCGTTGGTGGCGGCCGTGGCGAGGCGAGTGGTGCCCTTGCTTCAGCACCACACCGGTTCAAGGCTGGGGGACCTTCTAACATACCCCTGTCTAGGCTCTGCGTTGCTAGGTGAGGACCTGCCAAACAGCCAATGAATACATTTGAGAATTATTTTCAACAGACCTCGCACTTCACTGCAGTCAACTCTGAGGTCAAATTTTGGCCCCTCACTTGGTTTGGCCATTTCAAGCAGAGCGTTCAGATTTGTCAGAGGCAAATGCATCTGCAAAGTATATGACCATGTTGAACACAAACAACTGAAATTTAGGTGGAAGGTAACTAGTTCTCTCGTATGAGGAAAAAAAAATATAATCTCGGGGACAAAACGATATAGACACACCCACTGAAAATGCTTTGCGATCACAAATTTTCATCCAATGAAAGGTGCACAAAAGCTGCCACCGAAGAAGTGCTGTGTAGCAAGACAGTAAGATGTCAAGAACAGAAAGGCAGGGGGGTTGTCACGCGAGCATAATGCAATCCCCCAGCAGGTGGGAGAAGGCAGAACGGCACTCAGCTTGCAGACGCTGGTCAAAACAAAGAAAGAGAGCTTTAGCAATAAAGCTCACTTCCTTGAGGCAGGACAGTTTTTTTGTTTTGTTTATTAACACGTACAAGCTTGAACGGATTTGAAAAAATTTCCTTTAGAAGAATCATTCACAGCATTTTCAGTCAGAATTGCAATGTTTAATCAAAATTTGCAAAGGGGCCAAGTAAAGCTTAAACCAGCCGTTCTATAAACTGTTTCCACCATTTATGTGTTGTACATTAGAAATATTATGTTGATTTTGAACTTACATACTTGTCATAACATTAGGTTTGCACGAATAATGAATTTTAGGTTCGAAGCAAATTCGACGTGAATAATAATTTTGATCGAATAATTTTCAATCACATTCGAATAGTACAGTAGACTCTCAGTAAATGAAACCTGAAGGGAGCGGGAAAATATGTACCATTTACCAGGTGTTCCGTTTACTGAGAAGTGAACATGAATGCGGAATACAAGCCCAAGACCAAGCATTGCAAAGGCAATAGTTCTGTTTAAGCAGTAGTTCCGTTCAACAGATTTCGGTTTACTGAGAGTCTACTGTACACATGACATATAAAACTAATGGGCATATCTATCATACTATCCAGCACAATATTTTATAAAAATTGAAATAGGGCCTCTATGCAAATGCCATTCTTTTTTTTTTTTTCTCGTTCAAAGGAAGCCGAAAGCAGAATTTAACTTTCGACTGGATGCGAGTCATAACCCTTAAACTACGTAACATTTTAAAATTTATTACACTTAGAGCATATACAAACATTTAAGCATAATAAAACGAATTGATTTGAATGTAATACTTTCATTTAAAGGGGCCGTGTGACACTTTTTCAAGTAGCCATAAAATGGACTCAATAAAGAAGCGTATTGCCTCATAAATTCACCGCCGCAAAACTTTTTAGAATCCGTGCAGTGTGCACGAAGTTGCGAAAATTTGTCGCACGCTGCAAGTGCATTCTCTCTTCTTGTCCCGACGAAAGCACTGGAAGCTAAGCAGGGAGGAATGGCACGAGGAAAGAAAATACGTCACATGCAGTTTGTGAGCTTGTGGAGCCATTTGCCAAAAGAGCAATTTTTAGCTGACTTTGAGAATTTATTGTGAATAGCACACTGTGTGCTGCGTTATATTTCGCTTGCGTGTCCTCGGTAGCTTCTAATGGGATGCGTTTTCTGACAATGCTTAAAAAGTGTTGCACGGCCCCTTTAAATTTGAAGGAGGGCTTTGCGGCAAAACGAACTTCTCCTTGATAGGTGCTTTCATGGTTCCGCACCCCTAAACTGCAGTGAAACCTCCTTTACAGCCGGTACATTCGGACTATTATTATTTATTTGTTCTTTGCGGACAGCAGACTCTCAGTAAATGGAAATCTGTTAAACGAAACTGCTGCTTACACAAAACAACTGCCTTTAACACAATTGATTTCCTATTTGCACTCTGCAGCCTTATTCATCTCTCAGTAAATGAAACTCTTATTAAATGAAACATATTTTCCTGGTCCCTTCAGGTTCCGTTTAATGAGAGTCTATTGTAATTTAATTCGAACTGAAGGAATTCAAATGCCCTACTACTCGCTCGAATGTTTGAAGCATTCGAATATTCACACAAGCCTACGTAACATGACTATGTTGGCTACGTGTAGCATATATACATCGGTTCACTGGGTGGAGCTGGCAATACTGACACATACTTATACAGTCGAGCCCACATATAACGGCCCCACTTAAAACAAACTCGCCTAAAACAAAAAATATCCGCGTGAGCGTGAAAATATACATTGGTTCAATGACACAAAATCACACACACAATGAACGTCGCTTGGAGTGCCGCCAATCGGATTCAGCGACCGAGGTCGGTGCTCTACTTACTTCCCGGGAAACCCCTTTCGACCACCGATCAGGCGTCGACGAGGTGTCCATAGATTCTTATTGCTAAATGCCGGCCCTGCTTCTCCACCCCTCTAGTTGCCATTCTCCCCGACCGCTTTTTGTTACGCACCCCTCCGTCCTTTGTCCCTGCGCTACTCTGAGCACCACGCATCTCCAGACGAGATCCGTGTTTTCACACTGCCACCGATTTTTCGAAGACCGGTCAGCCATCTCCCATCAGTTTTTGATCGCTGGTGCTGTCGTTGGTATCGCCAGCCTGGAGTGACCAGACCATTTGCCAACACGGTCGGCCACCGACTGCATCCATTCGTTTGCGTCTAGTGCAAGCGCGTAGGCTACCCTACCGACTCTGATAATTCGCGATTCGTTTCGTGTTTAGGACCTGTTCCCGCTCACTTCGCACTCGGCTCAGCATGCGTGCGGAAGCGTAAAAACGGCTGTTAATTTGCATCGAACGAATCAAAAATATCTAAGTCGGTCAGGCTACACAAACCTGCTGGCGCAACAAAATGATTCTTTGACCACGGCCGCCAATTCTTTGAACATCGCCGTGCGCGCCGATTCAGGCGGCTGTGCTTTTTGACCTCTGTGCGCACAGGCACTCTCAAGTTTTTCTACGCGCAAGTTGCTCGTTTCGCAGACCTTTCAAGCAAGCTACCCGGCCTGCCGTCTTCCCATGTGCTTTGGTTTTCATGGTCGCCCTCCAGCCATATCCTTCCCTCTCTTCCCTCTATCGCAACTCCTTGCCCTTCTCTCGCGAATATGCTCTCCTCTTTTGATCACAACCCTTTCGCCCGTCTCCACCACTCCGCAACCCCAGCCACGCTGGCTCGAATTAGTTTCGTTTTCCGACCAGAAAGGGGCCCAGAGCTGTTCCACGCGTTCTGGCATGTGTCGCGTGTGCAAGTCTTGCTCGCTCTTGGTGTGCGTGTGTGGTCAGGATGGCAGACCGGAGGCCTTGCACTTTTTTGTGCCGCTCAAAACAACGTTGAAAATGTGACCGCTTGGCTTGAGCGTAATCAGCGCATTAGGTGCCGCGTTGCGGAGCGCTTGCTCATAGCTGTTGACAACCTGGCAGCCAACTTGCCGCTTCGGGCATCCCGGTATTCAGCTGTGGGAATGGTGAATATTTCGCGAGCGGCAGTGACGGCTACATGTGCGTGAAACTGTTTTCGCGAGACCAACTTTGTCGATGTCGGGCCCGATGCCGAACCTGAAGCTTCCGAACGAAACCACTCCGGTGGGGATTTGTGGCAGTGTGTCGTCGACTCCGACATGGGAAAGCGGGTGGGACATCTGTTGCGATGGTTTCATTACGGCCGATGATGGTGCCAACACCCCGGAACTGTGCAGGGATTAGGGCAGAGCGATTTGGAGGAATCGGATTGCGAGAACGACAAAATTTTGGAGCCAGTGCCTCACGCAGCTTATGCCACGGGCCTCGGCCAAGACCCCACTGCCATTTCAAATACAGTATTTACTCAGTAACGCGCACCCGATTTCCACGAGGAAAAAAAAAGACATCAATTGCGACGCGCACCCATTTTTCTCGCTGGCCCGAACGATCACACCACTCTAAAAAACAACTCCTTTCGGGAGCGTCTTCCATTTAAATATGAGGTATGGGGGAAGCCTGTGCCCATCTGACGTGTAACAGAGCATTGCCGTCACTGTAGTTTTATCGTGGACCGATGTCAGCACGCGAGCTTGCTTAGCCCCCTTCTTCTCGACGGTTGTGGTGCCAGGCATGTCGAAGTAAAGAGGCGTCTGATCGGCATTCCCGACCTGCCCAAGCAGGTAGCCGTCGTTGTTCCGCAAGTTTAGAACGAACCTCCGAAAACTGTGAAGCTTTTCATCGTACTCCTCCGGAAACTTTTCGCATATGCCCGTTCGCCTTCGGAGGGAAAAGCCTTTCCTCTTTATAAAGTTAGTTAGCCAGCACCTGCTCGCTTTGAACTGGCTCCTCATTAGCCCTTTTTCTAAGGCTTACTGCATAGCCCGCATTTGGAGCAGTTCTGTCGTCACGGGTCGCTGTGCTGCTCGCTGCTCAAGCACATTCTCGCCGAGCAGCTCTTTAATTTGCGGAAACTGACCATGCTTGGTCCACTGAAGCCTTTGCGTGAAGCTTTGCTGTCTACAATCTTCTGCTTTTGTTTCCGCCAGTCCCGCACGCACGTTTCGGGAACTCCGAACGACCGCAATGCGGCCCGATTTCCGTCCGTTTCTGCACATGCGATGACTTTTCTTTTAAAAGCGGCATCGTGGTGCACTCAAGTTTTTGGAGTTGGCCCTTCCATGCCGTCGATGCTAATGCACTGCGAGATGACGAACTCCTCAGCACACGTACGAAGTGCTGCACATGGGAAACACATAGGCAGAAATGGCCGACGCGCCATGCTGACGCACGTAGGGGGCGGCCATTTTGGAAATGCCGATGGCAATAGAATGACCGTATTCATTTTTTTTTTTTTTCGTACTCGATTCTAACGCGTATGCGATTTATGAACTCGCTTAACCGGAAAAAAGGCGTGCGTTAGATTCGAGTAATTACAGTAAACTCTAGACTGTCCTTATCGATACTACTCCTCGAAACTTGTGCATCACAGACTTTTTTGGGCAAAAAAGTTTGTGCTCTCGCTCGCAACTTTTAAAAAGCAGCGTTTCATTTACTATGAACCTCGGGATACAATGAATGGATGCCGCGTCATGCTCAGGTTCATTATAAGCGGGCTCGACCGTATACTCAATGAGAAGGTGTGTTGTTTTACCCAGCTGTAGCTTGCATGCGCGGGCGAAAAGCCTTAGCCGAGGTCCCAGGGGTCCCTCTGCTAGCGGTCCCAGCCAGTCATCGTCGGGAGCTGACGGAGGTTGTTGCGGCTCACTCGTAGACGGCAGAGCCATGCTGCAGGACACACGAAGAAGCCCCTCACGCAGACCTCCTCGAGAAAGCGGGCAATGGCGGCCAAGATTCAGCGCCTGGTAGGTTGCGCTAAGATCTTGGAAGAAAGCTCGTACACCTGGAAGCACTGCTTCACTGTCTGGCATCACCACCACGTAGGCAATGTCTCGTGACGGTGAGTAGGGCTCTAGCAGGAGTTTGTCCTGGATTTAGAATGACAGGAAATATCAGCACCAAGATGAACAAACAAAATCTGTTGACAGCTAAAACGCATCAAAAGGTTTGGGCAGGCAAGAGTGTGCCGACATAGTCTCGTCAGGTAAAATTATCCTTTGGAAAGCGGCAGGTCATCGATCAGAACAAAATTTACAAGAGATCCTAGAGATTTACAAGGGATCCTTGATACTAAAATGCATCAAGGATCTCTTGTAAATCTCTAGCCATTTTGTTCTTGACTATGCTCAGCACTCTAACCAAAGAATATTCATGAGATGACTTCCTTGTAACATGTATTCACAAATAACCTGCATCTATAACCACTACAAAAGACAAAGCAGTAGAGTTAAGGCGCGTTTACACTAGGCAGACACGGCACCGATTTTGATCTGTGGGCTGTCTTTAAGGGGGGGGGGGGGGGGGGGGGGGTCTTTTGTCTAAACTTGCACACCTGCACCTAATTTTCAGCCATGCTCCCTGCTGTGCCATCGACCCTTTCCCGCTAAGCTAGTGGGACGGGGAGGGGGGGGGGGGGGAGAGACACACAATAGCGATGCGAAGAAAAGACTTGAGTGTTCAAACTGCTCCTGCTCCTATTCAGACGCTGCATGGGAGAGGGATTGTTAACTTTCCCAAGATTGCCAGCTTTGTAGTTGTTTGAAGCAAAGACATGGGGCAAATTTTCGCTCAGCGGCAGATCTCCTGAAGACACGCGGACGACAGGTCTGCAGATGTGATTTGCTGGTGTTTTCAGTCGCTCATCATGTTACACTACGATGAAATGCTGTTTTTTGAGGGGTCGTTGTCGTCGGCCTTGTGTGACCATGGGGTCTGGCAACTTCATCGGCAGGCGACTCGTCGGCTGGTGGTCTGCGTCTGCCTCGTGTCTTTGTTGAGGTCTAGTGTAAACGCACCTTTAGAAAACAAAGATGGGTAAATGTGATGGCCTTGAAATGGCTAACAGTGAAAGACTCATCGAATCAAGCTGCACTGAACTTGAAAAGCACAACCGTTCACACTTACCCAGTACTTAAGTGCGAAAGGTGAGAGGGCAACCCAGTCCCTATCATAACCGACCAGCAGCGATGGTATTGGCTGCGGCTCACACTGGTCTTCAGTGCCTCGTCCAGCAAGACGATGAAATTGGCGCCAAGTGAGGGGTCCTGCTACACGGTACGTTACTTCCCAAAGGCCCTGGTTGCGCTTTTTGTGTACAGCATCTTGCAGTAAGGGCTGCAGGCCACGCAGCAGTCCCATCGTCAATAAGCTGCTAGTGGGAAACGGGCCTGCAAAGATGTGCGAATGTGTTTATTGCATCAGCACTGACAGGCAATCAAAAAGAAACCTCCACACAGAGAAAAGAAAAGGGGACGCCATGCCTGAGTGGACAAGGCCAAAAGCCGAGGCAATGCAAATAAAAACACTTCTAATACAGGATGAGACATTGAGATGTCTGCTCACAATGCAGGTAAGGCCAGTGATGAAGGCAGGAGCTTCTGAGGTTATCCTCTAATGGTCGAGCAGCAACAGCCTCAAGGGCCCCAGAGGCAACCTCACAGCCATCCAGGGCCTGAAGCAGAGCCAAGGAGCTTGGTGAAGGGAGTGCTCCAACAGGAGGTGGCAGTGGCGGCTCAGAGCCCAGCTGTAGAGTCTTGTGCAGCACTGAACACGGTGATAAGGACATGCCCAGACACTGGTTCTGTACGTAGTCCATCAGGCCTTCTTCATTCACCTGCTGGACAGGGGAAGCAAGCGACAGTTAAATGGCTCTTGGCACAATGAAGGCACAGTTGCACGCAAGGACTTAGGGTCTAGAGAAATTATCTGGTCAGATTTCATCCAGCTTAGTGTTCCTGCATCATTCATATCGTTAATTACTTAGAGCATTGTTTCTCTACAGTATGCGATTGCAACTAGACCAAGTCAAAGCACTCTTCAACCTCACTGAGCATATTTCATTTGCTGACTCTAATCTATTATAAGTATGGGTGAGTGAATATTTGAAATTTCAAATATTGTTTTAATGTTGTTTGTTATTCAATTCGATTGGCAGTGAAACTTTTACTATTCGAACTTCCCAAACACAATAATAATAATAATAATAATAATAATAATAATAAACCCCCAAAACCACGATATGATTATGAGAGACACTAAAGCGGAGGGCTCCGAAAATTTCTACCACCTGGTGTTCTCACACATGCACCTAAATCTTAAGCACATGCAAGCATTTTCGCCTCCATCGAAAATGCGGCCGCCGTGGCCGGGATTCAGTACCGCGAATGTGGGTCAGCAGGTGAGTGCCTTAGCCACTGGACCACTGTGGTGGGTGAGCTTCCCAAGCTTCCCAAAGACAAATGCAGTCCATGTCAAACAAAACGTGACCTCTTCAGATCTTTGACAGGCTTCGCCTTATTTCGTCCCCGTATTGCGGCAAAGCTTCCTTTTAAGCTCCACTCCGATCGAATTTTTCAAAAACCCAAAGTTCGATTCAAAGTGACTGACCCCTTCGAATTTGCAGTATCCTTCACCTCGTCAAATTATTGTATTGCAGCGAGGATGCCTTTCAGGCTCCACTACGATTGCAAATGTAATGACTCGATAAAACAAAGATGGTACATGTGAAAGACATGGGGGCTCAATTAATGCAGTTTCGGATCTGAAATTTGGGTACGAAGTCCAAAAAATCTGATGTCAAAGATTTTTAGGTTCCAAAATTCCAAATGTTCTTGTATGTTGATGTCTATGAGGCAGATTTGGAACCCATAACTTGTCTGCCACATCAGTTGGGCTTCCCCAAAAGTTGTAAGAGAAGAGACTTGAGGAAATAGCATCATTGCCTTTCCCACGTAAAGTGCTGTTGGCAACACTTTGGTAACACCAAATCATGTACTGATACTATTTGGCCTCTGCACAGCCTCATTCCAACTACAGTAGACTTAAGGCGAACTTGAAGGGACCTCGATCATTTGTTCATCTTATCAGGAGTTCGTTTTATGAGAGGTGCCTCCAAATATTAAATGCTGACATGCCAAGTACATCTAAGTACACTAAAACCTCCTTATAACGTAACAGGATATAATGAAATAATTGTAGCTCCCCTTCAACTTCGTTATAACGAGGTTTGAGTGTAGTCGACTCCTCTTAAACGGAACTCGAAGGGGATCCATAAAACTGTTCCATTTATCAGAAGTTTCATTTAAGCTAAGTACACTTATTCAGTGAATCAAAACCTTTATTCAAATTGCACAAACCTCACCTTACTCATGAGGATGAGTAGGAGAAAAAAGGAGAGAAGGGTGGTTTGTTTGGCAAGCTTGAGTTGTTTTTTCACAAGGTACGCACCCATGCCTGACAAACTAGCCAGAAATTCTGGACAAGCCTCATGCTCAAAATAGCACTGCAAAAGTTCAACAGCCTCTTTAGCTGATCGGTCTGGTGGCACCGCCGCACTGGCAATATTGTCATCACATTCATCACTGAAAGGTTGATCCTCATCTTGCACTTCGGCAATCATTTCCTCAACAGTCTCCTCCCGTCAGGTACGAACAATTTTATCAACCGATTCATAGTCCTGCATCGTGAAATGGGCAGAGGGCACGACCTCACTGAATACTGCCTCAATGTTGGCATCAGCAGGGCTTTTTTCTTGATCAGGTACTGCTTCTTGCACTTGAAAGCCAGCATGATGAAAGCATCTGTATATTGTTGGTGCCTTCACTTGCTCCCAGGCATGAGCCAAAATGTGGATGGCTGCCAATAAATCTATACTGTAGCACTTCCAGCTGTGTGCACAACGCAGCATTCGATAAAGCATTTGTCTGCAATAATAACCTTTAATGTTCTGAATAACCCCTTGATCCATCGGCTGGATCACTGTCATTGCATTGGCTGGCAAGAACTCCAGAGTGATAGCTTAGAGTCCTTCAACATGACTGTGGGCTGGGCAATTATCCATGATGAAGACAACCTTCCTGCCTTGCCTCGTAAATCTTGCGTCTTCCTGCCGTAGCCAGTTTTCGAAAATGGCCATGGTCATCAACGCTCTTCCGTTCGCATGGTACGCAACGAGATGGTGTCGAACGCCTTTAAAACAATGTGGGTGCCTTGATTTTCCTATTACCAACAGCTTCAACTTCTGATCTCCTGCCATGTTTGCACCCACCAGCACAGTCATGCGATCTTTACTGCGTTTTCTTCCACTACTGGCTTTGCCTTTGAAGGTGAGAGTCTTTGATGAAAGAGCCTTATAAAAAGACCCATCTCGTCGACGTTGAAGACGTCTCATGGCTGAAAGCTCATCAAAATTTCCTTAAGCCACCCCTGTTGCCAGTCGGTGCAAATGTCCCTGTTGACTGCAGCACTCTCACCTGAGATTGCTTTAAAAACTAGGCCATGGCGTGTTTTGAAGCAACTGAGCCATCCGTCAATTAAGAAGAAGTTCTCAACACCCATTTGCATGGCGATCTCTCGAGCTTTCTGCTCGAGAATTGGTCCGCTTATGGGCAAATTGGAAATCTGTGCACGCTTAAACCACAGAAAAGTTCTAGTTGTTCTTTTTCTAGTTGTTCATAAAGCCTTGTCCACATCTGTTTAGATGCAAAGGTCCCATTCTCTACAGCGCCTTCAATCTTTTCGCTGTCTTTGCAGATCCGCAACAGCATCGATTTTTTGTGCCCAAGCCTTGGGCACAAAAAAAAAAAAAATCAACGCAGCTATATTTGGTGTGCAAAATGACCTTCCTTTCTTATGCACTTTCATGATGAAAATGACTAGGCTTGTGCGAATAGTAAATTTCAGAGTCGAAGCGAATTTGAAGCGAACAGTGATTTTGATCGAATAATTTCGAATCGAATTCGAATAGTATGTATGACATAAAAAAAAGGGAATATTTATCATAACCCAACTAACCTGCACGATATTTCTTTTGAATTGAAATAGGGGCTCTATGCAAATGCCTTTTTTTTTTCGTTGAAAGGAAGTCGAAACAACCTTGATTAGTAGTTTCGGTAGGATCCGAGTGATAACCTGTAAGATACATAACGTTTTAAAATTTATTATACTTAAATCATATAAACCATCATAACAAGCTTAATAAAATGGATTGATTTGAAGGTAACATGTTCCTAGAAAGGGGCCCTGCAACACTTTTTCAAGTATCCATGGAGCCAGTAAACATGCTTGTCGCCTCACAAGTTTGTCGCCGCAAAGTTTCTAGAATCGGTCCAGTACGAGCGGAGTTCCAAAAATTTGTCTCATGCTGCAATTGCATTCTCCAATCTCGACCAGTCAAAACATCTGGAAGCTAAGTAGGGAAGGATGGCACGAGAATAGAAAAAAAACGTCACGAGCGCCTAGCGACCTTGAGCATCTCTTCTCTCTGCTTTTTCTTCGAATACGAGGCCTTTCAGTGCGATCGTGCACGTACTTGTGGACAAGCAACGGCCTCACGCAACGGTCAGATAACGACGAGCGCGCCATGCTCAAATCAGCCAATGACTGTGACCGAAGCCGTATTTTCTTTCTTGGCTGTGACAAGTGATTTCTGAGCTTGTAGTGTCATTTGCTGAGGGAAGAGAGCAGTTTGTAGCTTTTTGAAAATTTATTGTGAATTTCAGGCCGCGTGCTGCGCAATAATTCTTGCCTCGCGTGTTCTCGGTAGCCTCTACTACCGATCGGCGGTGTTTTCTGACCATGCTCAGCAAGTGTTGCAGGGCCCCTTTAAATCTGAAGGGGGGCTTCGCGGCAAAGCAAATTTCTCCTGAGTGGGTGCATTCACGGTTTTGCATTACTACATTGCAGTGAAACCACCTTTACAGGCAGACTAGTGCGCATTTATTTGTTTATTGCGAATTCGAATACTACTCACCTATTCGTTCGAATATTCGAAGCATTCGAATATTCGCACAAGTCTAAAAATGACGAATCACAAGTTGCTACATATAAGGGGAGATGCTACTCGTAAAATTATTTTCTTTAACAAGAGTCTGAATTGAACACAAATTGGCATTTGTTTATGTGTAGCTTGTTTGGTTTTATTTCTGCAGCTCAGACAATGCGGAATGATGTTCATTGTTATGCAATAATTCTGACCTATAAAATTTTGAGATAAAGCATGCAGATATAGCTCACTATGATCCTTTGGAACTGTAGAGTGCAGAGAACTATACAAGTTTCATGTGTAAGAAGGGAAAATACAATAATAAAATAGAATAATATACCATGGCCTAGTTGCCAAGGGCTTTCAATGTTATGTAATATTTTGAAAAACATAACTAAGCAGCATTGGAAATAAAAGTAGATACTTGCACTCTACAGGACTTCATCATGCTATGTGCAAAATTTCGTAGAGTTCTGACAATTCTAAGTATTCTAACTAACGTGCCTAAGCAGCACAGATCACACAAAACTGCAGAAAGAGAAAAATGCATTTAAAAGTTTGAAACATTTTTTTTTACCATAGAGTTGTCAGAACTGCATAATCTTTGGCCATGATGTTCAAGAAAACTTTGAGAAGCAGTGCAAGTTATTAGAACTGTCCTGCAGCATAGGTTGTGCCTTCACTGTCCTTGTGAGCACACTCTTCGAGCCGTGCCCTTTTTACTCCATGACGACGGTGGGCCCTTGCTTCTGCTATCAAACGCCCGGACATCCTCTTGAAGCGCTTCGCATCACAGAAATCGATGAAAGCAACTAAATCCCTAGATGTGAGTATGTTCAGCTCTTCTAGGCTGT